ACAATATTGGATTTTTAAATCTCGTAAATAGGAATCATAATGCACGATATTTAAATAGCGTAAATAAGAATCACAATGTGTAACTTTTAAATCAGGAAAATATGAAAATCGATTATTGATATTAAAATCGCGTGAATAAGAGTCGAGATATTTGCAGAGTCTGAACTTGAGATTTCTAAAAGGCTTGTTTGTATTGTTTTTGTTTAGACATAATAAATTAAAATTTACAAGATTAATTGAATGAGCAAATAAATATTTTCACTGCAAATCCACCTCTATTTGTTTGTTTTTTTTTCGTTTGCTTTCACACCAAAAAACAGGAAGAAGCGACGTTTGAATTACGAAAATACGAGCTATCCAGCGGACGGATAAAAATACAGAAAATCTTATTTTCTGAGCGCAAAATCGGAGAAAATAAATAAAAAGGCGGAAGGGTTAGCAGCTAGGTCGTACTTTGAATTTTCTGTTTAACTTTGAAAATCTTAAATAAATATAATTATTTTATTTCAATGACTGAATTTTCACAAAAAAGCGGGATATTTATAAAAATAAAAAAAAACTCAACTTTGAGAGAATCTGACTTTTTTATAAAAAGGCTGAAATTCGAGAGACAAAAGCGAAACAATTTCTTCCTTGTATAAAGGTCAACCAGTTTTATCCCAAGGAAATGAATTTTAGAGAAACTTCAGAGGGAGGAATGAGAACTTTATACTTTCACTCCGCAGTAAATTCCTTATAAAATATTTTAACTTGTGCAAAAAATATTTTCTGCAGAAATTAGCGGGAAAAATGGAAAAATCTGAAGAAAAAAAGCGGAAATCCGCGAATTCGAGGAAGAATTACATCCCTGTTATGCCTCTATCACAAGAGAAAGAATAAGTGTAACTGCAAATGTAGCCTCCACTCTATCCGCAACTCTAAAAGCAATTTCTCCAAAATTTGCTCGAAAAATCCTTGTGTGATACAGAAATCACGGTTGCCCGAAATATCTGCAACTGTTCAGGCAATTTCTTACACGAACCAATCAGATCGTTTGCTTTTTATGACGTTTCAATTTTATGCGATGACATATACAAATGTAAATAAAAATGGTGGCGACGTTGGTGAACAGGATAATCGGATGAAATTTTAAATAGATAGAACGGTAAAATTTTTTAGTTTAATAATAACATTTCCTTTCAAATTAAAGCATTAAAAATACTTTCACACGATGAGATGACCATCGCAATGCAGATGATGTACTACCATAACAGGAACCTGCACATCATTTTAGTATCGGTAAGTTTAATACACTATTTTCTAGATAAATTTTCTTTTAAAATATTTATTTATTTTAAACTAATAAAATTAAAACTTATTATAATTTCTTCCGATCAAAGTTTTAATTACTTTAGATAGAAATAATTTCTATTTTCTATGTAGAGATTTATACTGGCGAAAAGCTTTACTTTGAAATATTCGTCAAGCAACTCGTCTAACTTTGTTGCATTATTATAACACAAAATATAAAGAAGATTACATTTCTTTATTTTTTAAAAAAATTTTAATCTTTATTTCTGTTTATTGTAAAAGCGTGCGTCCAATTATTTAAAGAAAAAAAATTATTATTATTATTATTTTTTGAAATAATTACTTTATTCTTCCTTAAGAATTCTTTTAATTTTTGAAAAGCTTATACAAGTTAGAAAATATATGCGGAAAATATTTATCTTGTCTCTTACAAAGTTACACCAATTTTAAGTAATTATCGAGAAGTATTAAAAAAAAGGTAGTAATATTATATATAAGTAATTATTAAAAATGCAAATTCCCAATCTCCTCGTCTGTTTCTACATTCATCCCCTCTATTTTTTGGTGTATGGTGATTTGCATAATATTTTGTTTATTATTATTTAAAGTTAACTATTGATACTTTACTTTCTATTTATAGTTTACATTTATCTTTTGATACTTTACTTTTCTACAATGATAGTAAGTATGTAAGTGTACCTTACTAATTTTTCAATATACTTACATTTTTAATAGTCTTCGTTTATAAATACAATTTATTTTTCTTAAAAAATTTCAATCCAAACATAAAAACTACAATACCAAATATGCCTGCCATCTTTCATTAGTGTACAGAATAATCTTAGAACTATAATCAAAATATCTGTGAAACTTAAAATAAGTTTAAAAGAGATACCTAAAGACTTAAATGATTTCATATTAAAGGTATTTAATCTCCCTTACTCTAATAATGTGTTGGTAAAATTTTATCATGAAAGTGATTTCTTTCTTTTATTTCAGATATTTTATATAATCCTGTAAGGTTTGTCTGGTGAAGAAGGAAAGAGATGTAATATTGTTTTAATGAATGAAATTAAAAAATAAGAAATGTAAATGAATAATGTTCTAAATGTTTCACTTGATATTAAATGTTTTATTTTTTAAATTGATTCTTGTATTATTTAAAATGCAAAACAAAATACGTAAAAGGCTATAACAAAATAATATAATACATAAAAAGTATGCTCGCAATAAAATATTGTTTATTTCTTAGCTATTAATAAATTTGAATTTATATAGTGTATATTACAATAAATTTGTCCTAAAATAAATCCTATAATTTTTAATTAAATTATCTTATACCAATAATGAATGTTTTAAATTTTACAATAATAAATTGTAAGTATTACATTGAAAATCCTCTTATATATAAAGAACAATTTTACTAAGAAATTGGAAAAAATAATTTTCATAAGAGTGATATTCCTGATATGCAATGTGTAGATGAATAAAATTGATGATCCCTTAATGCAATGTAAATTAATTTTATGACAATAAAATTCTGAGATATTGTAGTACAGACAAGTCTGACATTATTTATTATGTATTTTTTAGACTAAATTTTAAAAAAATAGAATTGATTTAATAGATCTAATAGTTTTGATGTTATAAATATTTTATGAGTAAAAGGTTAGTCATAAATTGTATATTTCATACATTAAATCCTAATTTCTTCAAAAGAATTATTTCACCGAACTATTTTTTTTGAATTAAGCTTAAAAAATGGAAGCATATGAATTTGAAGAAATGCCTTACTTGTTGAGATAGCAATGTCAGTTGCATAAAGTGGTATAAGTCATAAAATTGTACTTTCTCCACATGAAACTTCTATAAATTTTCGAATTGCTAAACTATGAAATCAGACGGCTTGGTTTTATACTCATTCGATTTAGCGTATACATAGATAATGATACCGCACTTGCCTAGATAGCATGTTAGATAGTAAATATGTATAAATAAACTATGCTTTTACAGGGGGCCTAGCCAAATCTTTCAACAAAAAATAAGCACCTTTTAAGAACTTTTTAGTCTCAACTCAAAAAATATTTTAAGTGCTATGTAAATTGACAAAATGCAAAATAATTTTTAAAGACTTTACATGAACATGATAAAATAACTAGAATTTGACAAAGAACTCTTTTCTTGATTATATTAGCCATTAAAAAATGATCAAGAGATTTTTCGGTTCGATTTCAGAGGGTGGAAAATGAAGCCTGAAATTGAGAATATCTTGCAAAATGCAGCAGAGTTGCACACGAGAGTGCAAGAATCTCACCGAACCCAGCTGACTAGACGCACATGCGGACTCGCAAGTATTTCCCCAAACCTGTAAAATGATTGACACGTTCATATGCTATGTGTGATCGTGGTTGAATGAATTCTGAAAACGTTGAATAGAAAAATATGAAAAGCACGTTTTTTACATAATACGTGAAAATCGACATTCCCTTTCATAAATCTCATTTTCGAAAAGGGAAAATTAAGCAATTTTTAAAAACACCCATTAAGAAAAGCATCTTTAAGGACTTTTTAAAAACACTATGCACCATGCTTTTATACATTACTCACTCGATTCAACGCAAAAAAAATCTTACAAATTCTAGATAATATTTTAGTCTATTCCCCTTTTACCCCCTTACCCTTTTAGGGACACAACATGAAATTCATTGATATCTTAATATCTTATATTATGAGGTAGAAATCATAATCCTTTTAATACTGTGCTACTAATGGGGAAATAAAGTGCTCAGAATTTTTATTTGTAGCTGAAAAAAACACTTTAAAATGTACAAAATTAAATCAAAATCAATCAATATTCTACAGCGTCTGTGATTTCCTTTCCCTACCTTTACGAACATCGTTGGGAAACTATGATATAATAGAATCATATGATAAATTAAAATATGAGCCAAACGTAAAGATAAATAACAAAATATGGTAACCCAGTAACGAGCAACTGTTCAGCCAATTAAGCATTCCGAGCGGAGGAATTGCCCTTAGAGTTGCGGATAGAGTTAAAGTTACACTTACGGTTGCACCTATTTTTCTCTTGTGTGATAGAGGCATTAAATGAGATTTTAAAAATTTCTGATAATTTTTTTAACAGATATTTCTTTTTAACAGAAGAGCAAAAGGAACATGTTTGTTGGCAATTAAGTATCAAAAAATCAAATTTAAAATTAATGAAAACAGGAAGCAATTTACTAGATATCATTGAAAGTGGTCTCACTCAATAACCTGTTTGAATACATTAATGTTTGTAATGAGCAATTTTGTATTAAACTCAGAAGTTAAAATATTTATTTTTTTTTGCTAGCACTTTAACTATTAATTTGAAAAGATCAATTTTTATTTTATTGGTTGTTTTTTCTTTCCAATTAGTCAGAATTTTAAAACTTGTTATGATAAATATCCCAGTTTAGGCAATAGAGGTCAATATGTGGGGATAATACTGGCCGACTGACAAGGAAAATAGTACAGGCAAAAAAGGTTAAAAAAAATTTCTTTAAAAAACTAAAGTATAAATAAGAAACAGAGTTTATCTTATTTACCTTGGATTTTTTACTGATACTTATTAGAAGCTTATTAAATAAAGATATAAATAAAACATTTAAAAAAAAATTAAGGAATCAAAAATATGCACACGAAGAAAAACTAAAGGTGTTGTTTACTTTTTGATTTCTTATTTTCATAGGCCTTCAGCCGCTCTTCTCTTATACGTGCATCATCTTCATTTTCCTATAGATAAGAAAAATATGTTACAGAACACATGTTAAGTTCCCTTTACAAAAAAAAAAATTTTAAACTCTTAACAAGATTGAATAACATTTTTTGTGAAATATTTTAACCAATAATGAAAAGTCATATTTTTCTTTTTTTTAAAAAAAACTCAAATATTATGAAATCATAAAATTAAAAACTGACACACAGTAATTATACGGCTAGTATAAAATGTACACATAAAAAATAAAAAATTTTAACATAAATTTTACACTTGTCATTCTTATAAGAAAATTTTAACTGATTAATCTATTAAATTATTAGAGTGCCAGTCTTAAACTACAGATATCCTGCAATCTTATATACAGTACGACCTCGAAAATCCGGACTTCTGAAATCCGGAAATCTCTAAAATCCGGACTCATACGTCCACTTCCTCAGAAAAAAATTTCAAAAGAAAAATTTTTAAAAAAATTGCTTAGAATATAAATTTTAATGCAAAACCACAACTCTTCTCCAACAATGAAGAGGTAGAGGTGGGGTGTGAATGAAAGCTCATAGCTGATAAGGAAATTCCAGTCATTCTTATCAGCTCTGTATGGATAACAAAGAATATAAAGGGAAATCCCCTCCTCCTGAAGGGGAATCCCACAACTCTTTTGCAACAATGATGCAGTAGATGAAGAGGTAGAGGTGGGGAATGAATGAAAGCTCATAGCTGATAAGGAAATTCCAGTCATTCTTATCAGTTCTGTAAAAATAACAAAGAATATAAAAGGGAATCCCCCTCCTCCTGAAGGGGAATCCCCTCAGAAGGAGGAATTCTTCCATCTCCTTGTGTTTCCCCCTTGTGATGAAAGAAAACTGGTTCTTTCTTAACCTTGAAGCTTAGGAGGTGGGGACAAGTTCTTTCACCCCCCAAGAAAAAAAGGATTAGTATCAGCTGGTACAGTCTAGTCTAGAAGCATCTGTTTCGGTTATAAGTTGAAATTCAGCTCCCGTTTTAAGCCTATATTTTTTATTTTAATTGCTAATATTATGATAAAAACGATCGATTGCGGGGGGAAAATGATGAAAGTTTGATTTTTAATGTCTTTCACTTATTATTTAAAGAGTATATTTATGTTAAAATTGACGTCGGAGATCTACACACGCGTGATTAATCGCGAAATCGGCCTGGCGAATTTGAAACTTCGATAATTCTATCAATTCAAGTAAGGTATCTAAAATCCGGACCTTCCAAACCCCCCAGCAGACCGGATTTTCGAGGTTGCACTGTACTACAAAAAGGATGGTCATTTCTGAGACCAAACAAGATAATTACTCCTTCCTCCTCCCCTGAAATCATTGCAAGCACTATCAAATAAATTCAGTCAATAAAAAAAAACTAGACAAAATATATGTTTAAAATATTATTCCAATGGTATTTCTTGATGAATAAAAAAAAAATTCACTACTACAATGCCACTTTCACACAAGTCTTGTATTGGCACTCAGATGAAGAACAACCATTAACTAATTTGTAACACTGAAATTTCTTTTCTAGACGTTCGTTTCTTTTTTTCTAAGCAGAGCTTTTAACCCTTAGCTCAATCTTCACATAGCAGCTGTAGCCGATTTTGAGCAATTAAAACTACAGAGTAGAATGCTTTTATAACAAGAAGATTCTCTGATAACCCATGTTTATACACATGCATAAAAACAAATTCAAAAAAAAAAAACTGAAAAAAATTGAAATTTATGATTTTTATGTTATACATCAATTCAAGAATTAACAATGCAGGAACCAAAAAATTTTATTTATGCAAGTTTAATTATGAAAAAAAAATTTAAATTTTATTAGTTTTTTAAATAGTGAAATTTTGCTTAAAGTACTAGACTTGCAATAATGCATGGTAATGAGGAAAGTAAATTGTCATTATTTTTCAAACTTTAATACATTTTAACCATTTTTATGACAACTTTTTTTTGACAATTATTACTACATAATTCGACAGTTTTTAAAATCTCAATAATTTAATAAGATTTCATGGTTTACTGTGAAATTCTAATCACACATTTAGAAAATCACTTTTTATATAGACTGACTCACCAATCACTATTTCAGTAGCTAATGTTACAGATTTCCACATGGCTTTTAAACTCTCAATATTTTTAAACACCTTTATAAGGTACTTCAAATTCTGAACCACTTGCTTGATTGAGTTAACATTTCTCGACCCAAACCGTTAGCAATGATTCCACACAAAAACGTAGTTTTAAAGGTAGTTACTAAAATAGTTTTTCAGATGGTCTTTAAGAGTACTGTTTTAATAGATTATTTTGTTTTGCCAACTCTCGCAGTTGAAGAATCACTTTTTTATGCACATAACTATTGATGATTCACCTGCATGCCTACATAGTTTTATGATCGTATTTGTCTACCAAAGATTTGCATGGATTTTAAAATTAGATTTTTTCAATGTGACATTTTTCTGCACAAGAAACTAGTTAAAACTATCAAACTGAACAGTTTAAAAAAAATCATATATACATTAGACTGATGAGAAAAAGCTGCAACAATTTTTTCTATAATCAATGGTGTCTACATTAACCCCTTAACGCATTTGCTGGGCGAAAGTTACTGGCAAACTTGCACATGCCCATGTCTCACACTGGCGATCTTGTATCACTCGTTATTTTATTTCTAATGCTTGTCTGAGATTTGTTCAAGTAAAAATGGATAGGCTACCTTATAATTAAATTTATTTACCATAAATGACACCATTATGCAGCATTTTTGTGCAAACCATGTGGTGCATTTTGATGATCAGCTATAACATTGGTAGGATTTCTATGTTATAAAGCAGTTGTTTCGTGTGGAAAATGTTATATATCCATTTTTATTGTGCTAAATATAAAAGTAAACAATTAACCATTAATTAATTATTACAAGGTGTTTTTGTAAGTTGTTTTGAGAAAGTTTTCCGATAATGAGTGACTGAGTATTTTGAATATGCAAATTTATCAGAATGTTTCAGCGATGAAAGTGATGATCTCTTTAGTTGATTTAATTTGATTTTAATATCTTGAAATTCAAAATAAACCTGAAACCAAATTGTTTAAACTTTGTTTTACAGTAATTTATTTATTTTTTTAACTTTTATACCAACCCCTGCTCCCTTGTCACTCCCCACAACTGAAATTGCAAAAAATAACTTACACTATACCTATATCAGACATGCCAACTTCCAGGAAGACTTGTCAGGAGCAATTATCGCGATTAGACTACACCATAAATCAATACACCGGGATTAAATTTGTACTTTTAAAATTAAATGCATACATTTTTAAATGTCTTATAAATTAAAAGTACAATTAAAATGGTTAAAATAATAAAAAACTCACACTCTTAAAGGTCAATATACTTGTTTAATTACATATGCTGATACTAAACTTACACAACTCCAAGAAAATTATAAAATAAAATCAAGTTTTTAAAAGTCTAATAATTTAATTACAACCAACTCTTCACTAATCAACTTCAACTTTGTATACATTGAAATTATAAAATAAAGAATTGACAGTATGTGAGCTCTAAAAAAAAAAAAAAAGTCATGCACAAATTTAAATAAAAAAAAGGTTTCACAATTTTAAAAAAACTTAGGATTTTGAAAAAAATTAAGCAAACAAAATATATTCAAAACTGAATCCTTAAGAATTGAAAAAAAAAAAATTACACAATAATAAGACAAAGAAAAATATAAGATAAATTATAAGAACATAATTTATAGACCATAAAAATAAGAAACACAACAATGCTGCTTGTCAGAGAATTTTCAGCACAATAAAAAAAGATAATAATAATTAACAATCCCTAAGCTGATTTGTTGAAAATATATATAAAAAAAAATTATGAGGAACTGAAATGCCAAACAAAATATTACTGAAACTGAGTTCTTTAAAAATGTAAATCAAATATTAAAGGAAAAACTTATTTTAAAAAAGCAAAATAAAGAACACAATAATTCAGTTTTAATTACAATTAAGTCCTCTCGCTTTATAAAAAGCGATCATATAACCCGATATAACTCCTCAGCTTTGCATTATCAATATGTCGACGACAATCATCTAGACCGCCATGTGATATATTAAAATCTAAATCACATGCTTGGCAAAATACATGATTTAATGATACTTTTTTTAAAAATAAGCCATGCCTCAGAATAAGCTTCTTTATACTGCTGATCATATTTTGGCTTTACCGAATTCGCCATTTCAGATGAACTTTAACTCAAAACAACAACTAACTGATAAAAACGAAGAATAAACAACTTCCCCACACAAATGCTAAGAATGAATAATGGCCGAGATAGATAATAAATAAGTCTTGCTTATAGCTCTCTGTGAGTAGAAAATGCTCTAAGACAGCTGATTGGTCATCCATGTCATGTGATTCAAAGAACTAATCAAAAGCAAGAATATCGTTGGAACATTTGGACTGACGCGTGTAAGGACTTTTTAAGACTTTTTTTACCGGAATTTCATGTCTTTCCGAAGAAAATGGTTTTTCAATCGGAGCAATCAATTTTGCTTATTTTTCCAGAGAAACTCCGGAGAATCAGGAGCAGTTGGCATGTCTGATATATATTTATTTTCTGTCAACAAAAGAAAATATTCAATAATTTTTTACCAATTCGTGCTTTAAGAGGTTAAAGATGATCATTACAATCTTTTCTGAAAATAATTTGATAATAATTTCATTTATCGACTCATATTGGGTAAATATATAAATGGAAATCTAATTTAATTAATCTAATATTTTTAACAGTAAATTTTGCCGAAATACAATAGTTACATCTTCAAGCATAAAAATGACAGTGAGTGATTTGTAAAAAATAAATCACCAGGTTAATTTAGAATTTTAATACGAAGTTGAACAAGTCTGATAGTAAAATATGGCAAAGGGCATAGAAATTTAAAAACATAAATAGTATGAATTACTTAAATGCTTGATAAAAAATCTTGGGGTTAATAAAAACTTGTAATTCAGAAAAAAACGACACATTCATTAAGTGATTAATGAAGAAAAATAAACTATCCATTTAAAGTTTCCACTAAAAAAACCTGTCAGTCATCAATTTTATTGCTGTCAAAAATTTAAAATATATAAAAAAAGACAATTTAATGCTTTTAAATATTCTTTGTACATAGTAAAAAATTTCCTTTTGCACAATTTTAAAGAAATTCCAATCATCTCATTAATTGCATATAGATTTTTTTTTTTTAAAAAAAGAAAACAAGTTTTAAAATCCAAAAAAAAGCTTGAAAACAAAAGCACAGAAAAGAAAACTAAGGAGTAGGTTTTTTAAGAAAAAAACTGATTTATTATCAAATCTGGAAACTATTTAAATATTGCAGAAGCACTTGCATTTGCCACTTGCATAATTTTGCTGTCAAGGGAAAATATGAGTAATGCCTATTATGTTTATCTGAAGTAACATCTTTTAAATTACAAAGAATAATTAAAATTGGATAAAATTGGAAGGATAAATGGATTAAAATTGGATTTGATTTAAACAAGATACATTTAAATGTGAAAAATAAATTTACGTGCACAAAAAGGTTTAAAATTTCAGAAACAAGGAGAGGATAAATATTCCTCTAATGTATGACTACATAATATTTCACTGGCACTCTAAGTTGCATGGTTTGAAAGAAATGAAAATAATTAGTTTCACTTATGCTTAATATCTTCTTTCAGATTACTTAATATCTAATAGCATATAATTGAAACTAATCATAGAGTTTGGTTTAATGCTCTTAATGTGGAAAAAATTACAATCGACTTAATGGCAGAAGAGTTTAATGCTAGCGTTTCCTTTCCCATATTTTAAGGTCCATCAATAATTTGAATTTTTGACTCTGGAATCTTATCTATGATGATATATAGCTGTTTTCTTCAATATTTTAATAATACAGTGTAAAGTCGCGTATCCGGAATCGGTGGGACTTCCAGAAGTCCGTATAATAGATTTTTCCGTATAATAGACCCCCAAGGTAAACAAAGCTTAAAATGATTTAATAAACGATCTGAATCTAAGAAGCAAAAAATAAATAAACGTTATTTTTAAGGGGAACAATGTTTTAGCATTAGAATATCTAAATCAAATATAAAATATTAGAAAAAAAATATTATTGCTGAAAATATGGAAAACGAAAAAAATTTAACAGTTATGAAAATATTAATCCGCCATTTTGAACTAGAACGATTCAAGCAGGAAGGGGAAATTCATGTCATTCTGGAACAAAGCTTAAAATGATCTAAATCTAAGAAGCAAAAAATAAATAAACATTATTTTTAAGGGGAATAATGTTTTAGTATTAGAATATCTAATCAATAAAATATGAAATATTAGAAAAAAAATATTATTGCTTAAAATATAGAAAACGAAAAAAAATTGACATATGAAAATAATAATCCGCCATTTTTAACTAGAATGATTCAAGCAAGAAAGGGAAATTCCCGTCATTCATTAAGGTGGGTAGGTGGAGGAGAAAAATTCATTTCCTCCTTATTTGTGAAAGAAAATAAGTGTAAAGAGGAGATCATTTAAGTTGAGGGTGGGGAAGTAACAAATTATTGTTTTCTCTCCAATCATTGGCTATCAATCAAGCATAAAGGCGGGACACGCTGATGGGGTTCTCTTTATTTTTTCTTTTATGACTGAAAGAATCTGCTAAAGAAAGAATGTTACCCCCTTTTTTTCCCCGCCTCCTAAATATTACATGGTATGGGGAAGAACGAATGTTTTGTTTCTCAAGGACGTGTCTCCTTTTAGACCTATTCAAATTTTCCATTCTGACTCCCCCTCCACCTTAACGCTTGCCCCGTTTACCCTTTTCCACAGTATTTCTTCTTTCAATAAAAAGGTTCCAGGAAATGCCTCTTTTACTAGCCACCTGCATGGGAAAAGAGGGGGGGAGGGGACTCAGTTGTGGTCTTTTGAAAACAAATCTCCCTCTTTTTCCTACATTCCAAGGGAGGAGCGTCACTAACGGTCACGCAATGGTCTTGGTAGATATTCACTTCCCCTTTCTGGTGATTTATGGGTTCGATGCATAAATCAGAGGTTCAGTGCAAGCTAGAAAAAGAGAAAATTTGTCAAAAGATATATATATATATTTTTTTTAATAAAGGGGAAGATGGAGAGATGTTTGTTTATTTTGATTGTTAAAAAGTGTCCGGGAAATCGACCCTTCCGGGAAAGGGACGTCCGGATATGGGACGTTACACTGTATTAACTTTTAAGTGCTGTATCAATAGAAAGTACTTTTACAGTCAATTTCACCTTAAAAGATTGCATGATAACACTATATACATAATTATTGTATGACTAAAATAAAATATTGGGTAATTTGAGTAACTTTTCAGAAATGCATCCTGAAGATAATTTAAGAAAAGCTTTCCTACACAGAATAACAGAAATAAATTTTAAAAAAACTTGCAAAATAAACATATAACCCCAAGCTTTGCAAAAAAGTTAGCATATTACTTCATCAGATCCAAAAAGATCCACATCATCATCATCTGCAGCAGATGGACCATTTTGTTTTGCAGCATTTAAAGGTTTTACACTTTCTGGTTTTGCAACCTAAAAAAAAAAAAATTATACAATCTCAAAATCTCCAATAACTACATAAAAAACTTATCTTCCCCATCTACTATAAACTTACTTAAGTATATTTTTGTGTCTTAAACATTGATGTAATCACTATCTTAAATAATAGGGCCATACTATGATGTGACTATCAATTATCCTCTACAGTGAATAAACATTTCAACAGAATTAGTTCCTCATTTTTATCGTATTATAAGAACTATTTTAATTAATGCTTCACTGTATTGTATTATAAGACTTTTTTAATTTAAACATAGCTGCTGACAAATTTATAATACAAAATAAACTATTGCACAGTGTCACTATTTAAAACATTCCTTATATGTAGAATTACGAGGAGTCATCCAAGAGAAATAAGATACAAAAATTACTTTACAATAGTAAAAAATTTGAATTTTAACTGCTAAGTTCTTCATTAATATAAAAGGAGTTTATACAAAAATCTGAATGAACTTCAATATAAATATCTTTTACAATGTTTATCAGATATCTGATCATAACATTCTTGAATAACATATAGAAGAGACGAGGACACATTTGAGCATCTAAAATTTTATCTGAATTTAACAATATTAAAACAAAAAAATTCAACCATTTCTCTGAACGCGTAAGTAAATGTAATTTTAAGGCTTAGTTTGTTTTAATTTTTTGATGAATTGGCAAGTTGAAAATAATTTATGATCATTATCATTAAAATACTTAACTATAATAAAGTTTTTCCAGAAGATAAAACTAATAAGATTGCATGCAATGGAACACCTTTGAATAATTAGAAACCAATAGAACACATTATTTGCATATACTTGATACATTACTTGCACACACTTAAAAGTCATAGTCATAGATAACAAAAGTTCATACCCAATAGAGTAAGGAGTAAATTACGACTGCATTTGTTCAACGTTCTTACAACTAGGCCTCACAAGTTCAATTCATTACATGGATCAAAGTGCTACCATGCTTAAATTAAGTATCTCAGATTTCTATAATCAATTATACATGCAACTGAAGGTATGGAAAAAATTACTGTGAACGACAAGGGACTACAATCCTAGCCACCACGATGACTTAAATATGACAGCTAATACACAATATTTTACGCCACTTGACATACTGCTTCCCAAAATTTGGTCCAGACTCTTAAAAAATTTTATTTTTGTAGATTGGTATTGAATGGCTGCATCATCTAACTCTTCATTTAACAATGCTACATGAAACTTAAAAATTGATTTATTTTCATTTATTTAATAAATTAAACTATTTCATTAGGTTTTTATTTATCACTGTTGTCAGTTTTTGCATTATATCAGTATTTTTGATATGGTGTGACACTTACACGGGTGATTGTGAGCCCAAGTCAAAATTCTGGAAAATTTCTTGCATTAAAAAAAAAAAAGTTTAAATTTAAAAAAATTGAAAAAAAATTAAAACAAGGTTTTTTTCCTTTTGCTCAATATTTCTTAGTTTACTTAAAATAGTAGAAAACCAATTATCCGGGATGCTCGGGACCATCGTTATCCCGGGTGTCTGAATTTCCCGGTTTTCTGGATTGACCAAAAAGTGTCGTTAATCGATGTTTTATCGAGTCCAAATTACAAGGAAAAAGCGTAACACATAAAGTAAGAGAAAAAAGAAAGGCACTCCTAAATTTAAAAAGAAATAAAAAAAAATGACATTTTAAAGAATAAAAAAAATTTGCAAGTTCATACAAGAAAAACAAGTTTAAAAAATAAAAAATTCTCATATTTATTTTTTAAAAATAATTAAAATTCCTAAATTAACTAATATAAACAAAGCCAATGATTAAATAACGCAATATATTTTATACCCAATTATACGGGGCAAAACGATAAAATAAAAGGTTAACTTATTAATCTAAATAAAAACACTTGAAAATTATCGAACCGAAACGATAGTTAACCCCTTAACTGCCGAGTAAAATCTACGTGATTCACTCCCTAGTGCCACCATTTTTCGCTCAAGTGCACATTCTTACACGGTGTTTTGGTGGGGTAAAATGATGCACGCTTTGCAATTTAAAAACAGTTTACTTTTACAAGACAAGAAAAAGGAAAGAAAGAAAATACGAAATTTAAATTAAATAATAAAAATACAATATAAAAGATGTTAAAACTTAGCTGTTGTATGATAAATCCTGAAACATGGTTGGACACATAAACCAACATCACATTCATCGCACTGCATTCATCGCACTGATAGCAGGATTCACGATGAATTTTTTTTTCTTGAACAAACAGCACATTTTCGCGATATGCATTTTTCTTTGAAGACGTTGATGGAAAGAATAAAAAGCACCAAATACATACGGGAAAGAAAAGCGAAAAAAAGAATAAACCCGACCTTACTCAAATAAATACACACAAGCGATTAATACGATATCACTTTTCCATAACATTCTTTTCCCATTCCCCCTCCTCCGAAATTAGTAATGAATTCAGTAATGCATTTTTACTGCATTCTGAAATAGGGGGTGTAGTTCTATCTATAGCAGCGTAATGCAAAGCATTGTACTTCGAGAAAGCGTATATATACGACTGCGGCAGTTAACGCATCGTCTGGCCGAGACGTATACATACGCCCGCGGCATTTAAGGGGTTAAAAAAGGCACTAGCATAAATATTAAAACCAGGAACAAGGCAAGATCAACGAAATTTTTAAAAAAAACCTAAAGATAAAATTTATGAATAAAAAGGATTAATTTATTGAGTGCGAAATTTATCGTGAAAAGAAAAAAAAAATCAAACGTAGGGGAATCAAAAAAAACAAAACTGCAATCTGCTTCATAAAATAATCCTATTTTTAAATTGATAAACAATTCTCCTTTTATTTTATTTATTTATTTATTTTTTTTTTTTGTTGATAAAAACACGATTTTTAATTACAGCAGACTTGCAAATGATACCGCACTTCCAAAGAATCAGAATTTATTCAAAAGAAAAAGATTCTATTTTTATTAATCGATGCCAAATAGTTAATATATTTTTCTCTTTCATCTTCTGTTGACAGCCTAAAGGAGAAAATAAAACATTCCTTCCTTCCCTGCCTCCTCTCGATCTTCAAGGTCACGGAGGCTATGACGGTTCTCTGGGTAAATGGGGGGGAATTCTCCCCTTCCTCACATTTTCCTCTACTCAACTTCAAGGATGAGTCCAATTTCCGCTTCTTTTTTTCATAATCGTTCAACTCGTTCTAGTTTAAAATGGCGGGAAAACCAAGCAAAATTTTTCCCGGTTATCTGAATACCGGATAAATAGTTCTCAACTGAATATTTAAAATTTTACACATACATACCTATGATGACCTGGAGAAGTAATTAAAATTTACAAATATGTCTTTCTTTCTCGAGTTTACAATTACAACAACTATTTACTGATAAAAAAATGAATATTAATCATGAATATAAGCTTATAAAGTATCTCTGACTCTCCCTTACAAACAAATAAAATAAACTGTATTTTTAAGTTCCACCTTTGAAAATTTGATTTCCGGAAACTTCTGTATTCAACGATTTTTTGAAACGTCTGGACCTTCGATCTTCGGAAACTGTTAGCGAAAATTACGGAAATCCGAATTTTTTCCCGCAGCACGAAATCAGCCCCCTGCACTTGTACGAATTTATACATTAATAGGGAACACCTAAAGATTTTATAAATCTCACCTATACAAAATTTGCAAATTTCTAGGCAATCTGGGTTGTCAAAATATTTTTATATAAATAACACTTTCTAAAACTTCTAAGCAAGCAGTAAGCTGAATACAAGAGCAATTTCAAACATGCCAACTTTTAAGAAGACACATAAGGAGTAATAATTGTACAGACACTGATAGTAAGCTATGACGTGAAACAATACTCCATGTAAAGATACCAACTTGCTCCAGACTGAGGATAAATATTTTCGAGCAGTAGCCTTTTTAAGAATAATTCTTAGTTTAGCAAATTGAATTGTAGGGTTTTTACTCCCCACTACTTTTAAATAATTGAAAGGCTTATGTGAAACACCACTTAGCTCAGTTGAGCTGTGTTCATCCGTTTAAAACATAGGTTCTCAACCTTTTTAACGTTGCCGCCCCCTTAAGGAGCGAAAAATATTTCAACGCCCCCCTTTATAAAAATCCTGTTATTTTGAGCATGGGGACGGAGGGATTTGTGCTGAATTATAAGAGGCAAATTTTTTAAGCAATTTTTTTACGCTTTCAATTTGTTTGGTTTTTTAAAAAAGAATAAATTAACTCGATAATTTTCTCACGGCAGGTAATCGCCGTCTATTTGTTATGATCAAAATAAATACGTTTAATGAAAAAAAAATACAACTAAGAAACCTATGCTTAAAAAGAATAATTTATTCTAAATTAGATAATTAAAATAACACCCAAAATAATTTTGTTACACTAAAAAGTAGTATCAACGAAACATTCAAGTAACTATGTTAGTGGGATGATTGTACTTAATGGTTCAGAACCAATTCCTTAACGCTCGGTTCAATACTTTTAGTGAGATGAAGATGCAAATACCCACGTTTGCACAATTTCGAGTCGATTTCTTCTTTTTGTGACAAGATCCGTAACAGCACTGAATCCACATTCGACAAGTTAGGAGGCAGGGAAGGCAATTAAAAAATTTTTAACGATAGTCTACAGTCCAAGATAGAGACGACTGTTACCTTTAACACTAGATTGCCCATGGAAGTCATTTTGACTGCTTTTTAATTTCAATTAGAAAAACAATGATAACACAATTTCTTAGAATTTTGTGACTTTTTGTACAACATATAATTTTTTTATTGTTAATATTTACAAATAACTTGTTATATAACTGAAAATAATAACAAAAATATTAAATCTTATTTTAAACAAATTTCTTTATACATTAGTTATGCTTTCTTTATTCATTAGTTATTCTATGCAGTCATTTTGACTGCTTTTGAGCAATATAGGTATTTCAGTCTTTTTAGTGTTAAGTAAAAATTCTGTGAGACGATCACCATTTCAAAGTTTCATTAGTTAAAAGTTCGACCAATTCCTCGTAAATCTGAACCTCTGCTGTTTCAATATTTACAAAAGGGTTCATAAACCCATTGAGGGACTTCGAGGGAACAAAACATCTTTAAAATGGTCAGAAAAGTCCATGTGCAAAGAGTCAAGGTGTTGACAATATTCTTGTGCATGTGCATCATCAGAGAGAATTTTGCCTGCATGGCTGAACTCATTCCAACCAAAATTCTGCTAAAACAAAATCAGTTTTTTTAGAAAGGCGAAAATAACTTATTTTGTAGGGATCGAATTGAGCTCGTCGCCTTGAAGTTGTAAATTAATGCCATTAAATTTTACAGATAAATCAGCCAAAGTCTTTCTTAAATTCTAGCAATCTGTCTCTTAGAGCTACATTTCTGTTTTCGAGGAACTCAAGCACAGAGTCGAAAAGATTCCAATACCTATTGAGACAGAAGCTTTTGGAAAGTCAGTGAATCTCGGTGTATATTGCAAGCGATTGAATTCTTCATCGTTTTTCTTACACAGTTGTCTAAATAATCGATCTTAGAGAGCATTACTGTGAATTTTGTTCACAGCAGATACGGCATATTGCAATGATTGATGCAAACGGTCACTGAGATTTTTTCTTACTAAATACTGTCTGTGAATCACGCAGTGAACAGCTAAAATATCTGGTACCTCCCTTTCCAAAAGGGCGATAAACTCACGATGTCGACCCACCATTGCAGGAGCCTATCAGTGGCAATGGACATAATATTCGCAAGAGGAATGTTTTTCTCTTTAAAATAATCTTTGACAGTACTAAAAATAGATTTACCTTTGATATCTACAATCAAGCTTCCTGCAAAAAGCATATCTTGAATAATTTTCCCTTCCTTTACAAACCGGACCTATGCCTACAGTAAAGCCTGCATTACCTGGCAAGGTAGATTCATCAACTTGAAGGGAAAATTCGTTGGACATCAAAAGTTTGCATAAAGAAATTTCAACGTCTTCACCCATCTCATCATTTCGTCGCCGCACTGAATCGTTGCTTATGTGATAGTTTTTTATTATATTGGATGATGTAAAACTGTTTCTAAAACTCCCTTGACAACCGGCAGTATCAACTCTACTCCGATGGTTTGAGCTTTCCCAGATTTAGCAATAAATTTTGATATATTATAAGAAGCGATCAAACCATCGTCGCATTTTTGTGATGACGTTACTAGTAACCCTGAGACCGAAGGTGCCTTCAGAAACGTGAAAAAAGACGTTCGTCAAAAATGACAAATCTATATCTAGTTTTTTGCAAATGCTCTTGCTAACGGTAAGATTTCCTTACCTCATTAGATAAAACTTTATTACAAAGTAAACACATAGGTAATTGAGAGTTCAACAGTAATTGAACAAATCCCAACTTCAAGTACGTGACACTGTATTGATGACACTTCTTTTTGTCAACCGACATTGTTGGTGTCAGCAAAATACAAACGATGAAAGAAAATCAACTATTTCTCAAAATTAATAAATAATTTATGATACTATAAAGAACTAATTCGCGTACGTACCTGGCCAAATAAACTATGAGATCTAATCGAAACTGGGGAAAAAAACCGCAAGAAAGCTAACGAAAACCATTATAAGAAACACGGGTCCAATCAAACATTCATACTGAAAGCGCATGTACTGCAATTTCCACCAAATGGCTTGAATGAGTCAGAGGCAAAAACTACTGGCTCATGCGCTGAGCTGTGTTGGTTCGGATCGAAGAATAGGTGTCGTATAAGTTCGTTTTATTGCTGTTTCAAATAGTGTATAGGATAATCTTTATTTATTATATTAATTTAATCTTTTTTTCTTTATTATAATTTTTTTTATTAAATTAATCTTAATTTAATAATTTTATTTGCAAGTTTTAAAATTAAATTTGAATGACAAAACATGCTCAACGCCCCCCTACCGCCCAAAACATACCCAACGCCCCCCTACTGCCCAAAACAAGCTCACCGCCCCTCAGCATAGACCCACCGCCCCCAGGGGGGCGGTATCACCCCCGTTGAGAACCAATGGTTTAAAACTATTGGCAAAATTAACGGAAAATCTGCAAAAAGTGTGCAGTTCTATACCTTTTTTTAAATATTTTGTCAAATCCAGAGCAGTTGGCATCTTTGCGCCATGCTTAAAGTTATCAATATTTTCATATATTTCAATATTTTTTTGAATTAAAAATTAAAATTTACTATAAATAAAATTATATAAGAAAATAAAACGACGAACAAAAGTTCAAAAAGATTATTTTAACTGTAACTGATACTATTGAAATGCAAGAAAATATCATACAATTTAAATTTAAAAAAATAAAAAATAAAAACATTAAATTATTCAAGACCAGCATGGTTTGAAGTGTATATTGTACTAAATATTTTACACATAGGGATTTTTATAATCAAAAACTGCAATATTTTCCAGTTATGATAGACATTAAACAGACTTGAAATGTTATGTATTATGTTCACTCATAATTTCGAATATTAATAGGCGTTTATTTCATCAACGATAGTTCAAAAAAAATAATCTTAAACATTTTGGAACAAAAAAAGTTTAGAACTGATTTCTATAAATGAGGTTTGCTTCCTAATGTATTAGCATTACTTATTTAAATACTCAAGCAAGCAACAATCTGTGCGAAATTCTATTTCAATAGGGATTTTTTTAGGAAGCTTACTCAATTTCAGGGAATTTTCTAAAATGTACAAAAACCAGAAGAATTTTAATTAAACCAGTAGACCAGGATAAACTGACAAAATCCAGTAGTTTACTGAAAAATCCAGTAGAGTTGGAAGCTACAAAGGATGATTAAGTTTGATTTAAAAATTTACAAATAAAGCCTTTGTTTTAATAACACTAAAACCAAAAATAGTGAATGCAAATTGCAGTTTGATGATTGAATAATACATTTCTCTACAAAACGAGAGCCTTGAAATGTCTCTGCTTTGAAATGAGAGCCTTGAAATGTCCTTCCCAGAACGCATTATTAAAATTAACATTACAAGCTGACAATAAGCATGATTGACTTCTGTGAAACTGGGCACGTTTCTGAAAAATCAAATTTAAACTGTTGACCATGTTTTTTTTCCCCCCAATGCCCACTCATTCGACAATAGTCACTCAGGTATCTGTAGGGCAGACTTGTTGGACACTATTTCAGAGGAACCGTATTAGGTGGGCCAACATTGCTCTCACAGAAAGAACAGATACTACTGAGACTGAAAGAAGATGCATGCCTTGTCCGCGATTCGAACCCAGGACCCTTCTGATGTGAGGTCAGGTCCCCGACCAGTACAGTCCGGTCAGCTGTTTTAGGCATTTTGAAACACTCCTTAGAAAAAATGCATAGAAAAACAAGCATCTGAGAAGCCATGCAGCTGAACATGCCATGCAGCTGAACTGCAGTTCATTCGACAATTTCATCACTTGATTCAAATGGCCAATCACAGGCCAAAATGCAGTTGCGAAGTGCATTTTTGTCAATTTTGAATCAGAAATTTGGAATTTTTCGAAGAAAATAAGACTTGGCTGAAACATTTAATATCAAGTTTTTAGAAAAAACCTCAGAAAATACAGAACAGTTGGCATGAGTGCAGGAACTTTTTAGAGCTTTCCCAATTTAATAATTTTCTGATATGGAAATTTCTGATTACCAAGGAAATTTCTGATTAAACCAAGATGAACTAATAAAATCCAAAAGTCTACTAGAAAACCAAGTTGGCAGCTATGTATGATGCATAAATAATCAAGTTAAACAATTTGAGAAATGTTGTAAAGTTTTCTTCATGTTAACAAAGAGTGGTTTCAACTTACCTTGATATCACCTTTTGAAAGAGTTATTTCCCTCATAATATCTTCTAGAATCTTAATCTTAGAAGACATTTCAGACATTGCTGTAAAACAATGAAATATGTTATATTAAAATGTAATTCTAGAAAGCAAATCTTGATTAGGAAAAAGCAGGAAATGTAACATAAAATTCTGTTATTGGACCAAATTTTTTAAACAGGATGGATGAAATATTAAGTTTGAAGGAACAAGAAACAAGCTTGGTTATAGTACACCAAGCTTTGAGCAATTTCAGGTACTCAAGACCTCATGTACTTCAACATCAAATGATGTAATAAATTACATAAATTGGTGGAGAAATAAGAAAAGATCACTGGGGAATCTATGTGAGACTGATATTTACCTAAAGAATGCCCTCCTGGAGAACTTTCTTATGTCCCCTTCTAACTACAAAACTTAAGATTTTGAAACTAGAATTAGCAAGTTTTTTTCTTTTCATTTTTCATCCACAATATGTTTTCCAAATAATTTTCATTCCAAACAGATAATTGTCACAAATGATCTATTAAAGATTATTAATTTGCACACTATTAGGAATTTCTCTGTACGAATCAATGTATGAAATGTACAAAATTTACTTAGTTTATTTTTTAATATCTAAAGAACTATAAAAATTTGTTTATGTTAATATTTTACAAAATATTTGGATAAATTTGCTGGTTATCAATAATAAGGAAAAAAAATAATACTAACTCTTTCTCATTTCTTTGTTTTCATCTGAAAGCTTTTGTAATCGTTGTACAATTTCAGAATTATTAGTTTCTTTAACATCACCCTAAAACAAAAATCTAAGTGAATAAAATACTATATGCAAAAAAATAATGATTAATTACCAATCAATTAAATTTTTAGAAATTTAAACAAATAAACTATTTTTTCTCCCATTTACAACAGGTGTATCAAAACAAAGTACTGGTCTTACGTTAGTATAACATTTAAATCATTTATAATAATTATTTTTAAACTATTGCAATTATATCAGGATTTAAAGATTAAAGAATAAATCACCAATGTTTAATCTGCATATAAATACATAATTTGTGCAATTTAATAGCTATATAACTAAATGCTTAAATGTAAATGACTATTTAAATTGCAAAAAATATATTTATACCTAATAATTGCAATTAAATGATTTTCTTACAAGATAAGAGGAGCTAAAATCCTTCTGTTAAATCATAATTGCTCAGAATGATGTAATAGAAACAAATAGTTTTTACTACACTAAAAAAATCACAATATTTTTCTTAAAACATATATTTATAAGCAAAATTTTTTTAAAAATATCAAATTAACTATGTGTATCTATGTACAAATTTTAATTTTCTTCTTTTTCAATAAGAACTTATTGAAAGAACACGTTAAACCTCAAAAAATCTTTTTTTACTGGTTATTAAAGTTATTCTTAACACTAAGTATAAAACAAGTTATCCGGCTAGATGGATTTTAATGGTAAATAATATTTTGAAAGCAAATTTTTTACTTCCATTTGTTGATTTCATTTATTTATTTTAATTAAATGTCATTTTTCAGGTTCATCTACTTCAGTTGATCTATAATTTTAGTCCTTAATTTTTGATGTGAGTATAATTTTGGATAACAATTTTTAATTGTCAATTAATAGACTTAAATAATACAACTTATGATGAGAAATAAGAACTTTCAATAATTTCACAAGCACAGTACAATTTTTAATAAGTATATCTAAATAAAAAAAAATTTTAAATTCAAGGCACAGGATTTTAGCTTTTTTAAAATAAAGAACATTAATCTTTAACTCAGAATTTACTCCAAAATGTTTAACTATAGACTTAAATAGTTTCAGAAAAAATAAGCTTTAGTAAGTTGCACCTACAAAACTAATTTCAGTAAAGTGATTTGAGTATTTGGTTGTTCAAAACCGCAACATTCATTGGTTTTGGAATAATTCAGAGCAACAGTTCCATATTATTGTTTTGGTCATTTTTTTTTCTATCTGGAATGGTAATAAAAAATATATACTTTCTTTTCAAACCGAATAAATTATGTAACAATGATAAGTTAAATTACCAGATTTAAGTGCAAGTCAAAGAGCAATTAGGTAAAAAAAAAAATGCATATTTTAGAATAACTAACAGAATCAGAATAAATCGGAAAAGGTTAATAACTATTACTAAATAAAAACTTTTTTCGCTTAAAAAATATACAAATTGGAAATAACAGTCGCCATGTTTTAAGTGCTCAAAATTAATTACTCATTTTTAAGACTTGCCAGCAGAGTTGGCAGGTTTTTGACATGTGACAGTTTTTGACAGTTTAAACCATAGTTTAAACCGTCACGTCAAAAACCTCACTGTCAAAAATGTCGAAAACCTATATTCATATGTGAAATTTAATTAATACATAAAATTTATATATTTTTTATAAAGGATAGTGTTTCTAAATATGTTCTAGAAAAAATAAATTTAAAATTTTGAAGAAACACTTATATTTTGAATAGTAACCAAAATCTTGTACTTTTGAAAGCTCACATCTTTTGTAATATTATGTATTCATTTTCATGTGTTATTGAAAATCTGCAGTGATATTATTAAGAAATTTATTTATAACCAAATTTAGTGTATAGTATAGATTATACTAAAAATTAGACATTTTTAAAGATAAACATTAGCAGTTTTGTACATTAGACATCTTTTAAAGAAAAATCTTTTTAATATTCTTTTAAATCTTCTTAATAATCTTTTTAACATAAGACAATACAAATTTAAGTGCTTTCTGTTAAATACACAGAGTAGTTAGTGTCGATTTACAGTATATTCAGCCTATTCATTTACTATGCTGAAAATTTAGTTTATCCAAATACTTGTGAATTTCATTTTGCTGAATACTATATAGTTTTGTTGAATATCTAAATATTCAGCTGTTGAATAATTACTTCTTGCTTTCAAGATATGCATTATTTGTATTCTTAATACAAGTGGGGGAAAAAAATTAAGAGGTAAAAATTGTTTTAAAATGATAAGTGTAATAATTATAAATAAATATAATAAACAATATGAATTATATTTATCATTATTCACAAATATAACTACTTTTAAATTCAAATTAACATACTGGATAATAAAGATATTCGGTATAACATTAAAAAAAATTTTTATACACTTGTATCAAGTTTGTATTTATACAACATAACTTGTAAGTTCCTTATAAATATTAGTTATATGTTCCTTATATGTCAAAAATGCATAGTAATAAACTTTTAATTTTCTTAAGTATCAAAAAAAAAAATTTTTTTTTCAAAATATAAATATTTAAAAAAATTTTGTGCAAAATTTTTCTGCACATGCATTTGAATATAAATTTCTGAGATTTTAAATCTGTTATTTTACCTTAATTTTAATTAAAAAATATTTTAAAACCTGCTGATTACCTATAGTATAATTAAATTTCAATATAATGCATGGCAACTGTTGGTAGTTTTGAAGTTTATATATTTTCTTGGCAAACTTTAGATTTTGACATTTTTGACGGGTTTTTGACGGTTTAAACCAGTATTATACCCTTGTCATGTCAAAAACCACTTTTTGACGTCAAAAACCCAACCCTGCTTGCCAGGCATGAAAGATTAACAAAAGTGATTTGAAATATAACATGTACATTTATTTTTCAAATCACTTTTGTTTTTTCACATTGATGTTTGGCAAAACTAAAAATAAGCACCCATTTTTGAGCGCTTGAAACATGTTGACTGTTTTTTTCCAATTTGTATGTTTTTTATGCGAATTAAGGTTTTAAGTAATATCTTACTGCTTCAATTTCTTAGGATTAATTATTTAATAGGTAAGAAACGGTTTATATGAAAATTAGTTTATTTAAGAGATAGGAACAATGGCATCCTAGTTTTATTTTGAAAATTATAAGCTTAGATAAACATTTAAGTACTTAAACCACACCTTCTTGATCATAAAACTAAATAATAAACTTATTTTTAACTGAATTTAAAAAAAAAATTTATATTTTTTATGTGATGTCGCAATAATCAATTTTAAGTTATATAATATAATCAATTTTAAGTTATAATTGAGAGGGGTTGACAACTTGCCAAATAAAATTTGCATGTTGTTGAAAGTTTGCATTTATGGCCTTATGCAATTTTACTTCAGCACGCAAGAATAGACTAACATTTAATTTTAGAAACTAGTAAAAGCTAGATTATTTATTCAAAAATACTTTCAAAAAGCTAAAAGAAAACTATTTTTAATGAAAAGTGTTCAAATTTACACTAAGGAATGGTTAGATACAATTTCTAAAAATACTGTTCAAAGAAATTTAGCCAGATCATTTTTTAAAAAAATAATAGTTTTTATGTTAACACTCAATTATACAAGAGTTTTAACTTATTCTACAAACCTGTAAAAGGAAGAAAAAAATATCAATTCACTTATTACATAAGTACAAAATTGATTCAATTTTTTTTTTATGTCTAAGTTAAAAGTTATATAAATAGCATATGAAGAATTTACAGGGTGGCCACAAATACTTAGAAAAATGTTTCCCAGATTTCTTCAGACTCATTTTATTAAATTTCCTTGATTTCTGCAACTGTTGATAATAATTTCATTGATTTTCCAGCACAGATGCCTTCCTGCACATCAAATACATTATATTTTATTGTTACTGAAGTTGGTAATGGGGCTTTTTTTTAAAAAAAAAAAAGCGCTGTCTAAAAAAAAAATTTCTAAGATATTAGAAAGTTTAAATGATTTTTCTTGATAACAAAAGCATTAGTACACTTTCAAATATGAAAAAAATGTCAAATTAGAAAATATCATTCAAAACTAAATATTGATACATCTGTTACCATACTTATTTACATTATTTTTAAACTTCACAATTAGAATTTATGAACAGTGATATTTGTTTACCAATTAAGACTGTTTAGAAAAGAAAAATAAACAGCTATTTCGAATGTTCTGAATTTGGTTTAAGAAGCAAAAGCTTTTTTAATGCTTAGTGCTTTTTTACTATATCATGCATGTTACCATAATTAATTGAATGAATAATATTTACCCAAATAGATAAGTTAAAACCAAATAAAATTTTAGCATTCTTTTAGAATTAAGCCTCCTGAATTTCGTTCTTTAAAATGTCATTTTCTGTTACTCTACCTGGTGACAGATACAAGATTTCCTATTAAAATTTTAATTGGCATATTAATAATAATATTAAGATAACATAAGTAATCATTGCTTAGAATATGTAAACACTGAGATTCCAGCAAAAGGCATGAAAATTTTAATTGTATCTGGTAAATAAGTATCAATTTTTAAAAAAAAGTTGCATGAAAAATATTTAAATAGTATAAAATCATGAGCCTGGTGGCTCAGTGGTAGCGCTTTGAGCTTTAATGCCACAGGTCCTTGGTTCGATCCTCGGGCCGGGCAAAGTTGACTCAAGCCTATCATCCCTTCCGTGGGTTGATAAAATGAGTACCAAGCATGCTTGGGGACTAAACACTGAGGGTTCTACGTTCTGCTGACCACCCAACCAGAACATCTGCTCTTGCACCCCAGAGCCCAAGGTCAAGAAAACTGAGATGGGCACTGTAGGCCTTGGCTCTCCATGAGCTGGCACCCCACTGAATCTAGTTTAGTATGAAATCATGTGTTTATTTTAGGGACCAGCTGGGTTAAAGATGTTGAATTTTTCTTTTGCTTATTGCACAGAAGAAAGATTTAAATATAAATTATTTACATATTTATCATTCTACTGACTACTTTGAACGCTCTCAAAAATTTATATTTCACTTTGATTTGTGCTTTCAATAAAAAGATAATTTAATGTAATACAAAATTATTTTTATTTCATTATTTTCAATGTGAAAAGCATTGTAATTAATTTTCAAATTTTGCCCAACAATTATTTTTTTAACTTTATATTAAAAATATATTTTGAAATAAATTATATAAACAAAAACTTAAAACTGAAATTTGTCAAAAATCAATTGTCCAAGTGTTTCAGAAAAATAAACATCTATGTAGAAATCCTAGATTGCCTCTAGTGCCACTGCACAATAATGAAACGTTATTTTTGTTAAATGTATGAATTCTACAGATATGCCACTGATCCCAGCTTTGATTTAATCAGCCAGACAGTTAATCAAATGCATAACTCTAAAACTAAGAAATTCGGAATACTTAGTCCTGAAAATTATTTCTGATTATTGTATAGGAAATTGTAACTGATTAAACACATCAATCAGCTTGATAACTTTTAAAAATTAATAGTATAACTTGATTTTATAATAATTTATAACTTAGTTAAAGATTGTAATAATTCTGAGCAATGTCATTACAGCTTCTTCAAATTTATAATTGATAATTTATCAAGACCAAATTTTTAATATGACAAGCCAAATATTGTTTGAATTTAGATAATGTGCTAATTATCAAAATTATGCTAAGTTGCCAATAAAACAAAATGAAATATTATGTAAGTATAACTAATCTTTTTTTGTCAATGAAACAAAAGTACTTAAAAAAATTTCTACCAGAATAATTCCTTTTCCAATGAATTTTGCATTTAAACCACCTTTATCTTATTCTATAACAGAATATCTCATTAGCTACTGAACTTAACATATTTCAATCACATAATGAAATAAATTACAGTTGTAAAAGTTATTTTCATATTTCTAAATTCATTTTATAAATAATATTTTACACATTATAATCATTCAAAGCAATTACTCACTGAGAGTATATTTTTAATTTTCTCACGAGCGTTAACAATGTCGGAAACAAGTGAGGATACTGGCTTCCCCTAACATGAAGAAAGAAAAGGGATGTTAAGCCATGCCAGTTTAGTTAGAATACAAATGCTTTTACATATTAGTGGAAAGAGCAACATTAAAACAAAACAGAAAAATATTTAAGAATATACATACATATTAGGTTACATAAAAATATTAATAGCAATAAGCTTTTAAAATTTAGTATTATTAATAAAATAAATAAAATTTCAAAATAGAAATTGTTAATTATTTAAATATACTAAGTTTCATATTAAATACATACAAAGGTGCCCTGAAGTTAGGCATGATTCATCAATGTGGAAATGTGGAAAGTAATGTTTAACTTTTGGACACCAATGTACATATACAGATGGTAGGCAAAAAAATGGACTACATTAAATGTATTGGATAAGTTAATGTGCAGTAGCTGGGGAAAATTTTATGCATTAATACTGTTAGCACATTTCAAAAGACTTCAGAAATGACGTTTTTACACCCAGTCACTCCATGGGCAAAGGAAACAAAAAATTAAATAGTCTTCTTATTATTAATAAGTTATTTTTATAATTTAATGATCACTAATTGCTTTTTCTTGCTGTCATTGTAACTTATTAGTACCCAAATTGCAATTCAAAAATAATTTGTATAATAGTAATGGTCATTAAAATAACTAGAAAACTCCATAAAACATCTCAACCTCCTTATATTTTATTATGAAATACGTTTTAGCCTTACTAAAAGATGGCCTTTTTTTTCATGAAAGAGAATTATTTTTTAAAGTTTCTAGTTCCCTGACTTTTTATAAATCTAGTTTAAGGTTTGTTTATTTTATTGTTTATTAAATAGTTATTTTGATTGTTTATTGTAATTAAATCATTTATTTTTTAAGTAACCCTGTTTCAGGGGTGATTGTAAACACAAAGGGAAAAAGTTGAAAATTTTATGTGCAAAAGATATATATTAAGGTAACAATTTATGTACTATACATTTCATACTTAATATAATTTTTTGAGCTAACATTTATAATTAAATTACCTACTAATGAAGAATATCACACCTATATAGTAACTAATTCAAGAAAAAGCTTATTTCTTACAAGAATCAAGATGCTGGGTTTTAAAATTGAATGAATATGATAGCAATATTGGATTTTAAAATTGAATGAATATGATAGCAATATTGGATTTTAAAATTGCATGAATATGATTGCAATATTGGATTTTAACATTGCATGCACATGAATCACAATATTGGATTTTAAAATTGCATGAATAAGATTGCAATATAGGATTTTAAAATTGCATGCATATGAATCACAATATTGGATTTTAAAATTGTGTGAATTTGAATACAGATGTTGGACTTCAAAAAGACAAATCGCGATATCGAATTTTTAGAACTAGTAAATAAGAATACAGATGCATAATTTTTAGATTGCGCAAATACGAATCACATTGCGTAGCTTTTAAATCATGTATCAATACGAAAATTCATGTTTGATATTACAACTGTGTGATTTTGAATAACAATATTGGATTTTAAAAACACTTTAATACAAATTGAGAGGTTCAATTTTTTAATCACATGAATTATAACCAAGATTTTTCAATTTAGTGAATACGAATCACAACACAGGTTTTTTTTAATCAGGTAAATACAAAAATCTATGTTCGATATTAAAATCATCTAAATAAGAATCGTCATATTAGTGCAGTTTCAAATATTCAAAATGACAAGAATCCACCAAATCAAAATAATCAAATTGGCGGAAGAATCACGCGTTTTGTTAACAGGATATAGTGGAAGTTTCAATATTTTGTCGGATTAGAAGTTTTTGATTCGCCGAAATCTGAAAACCAATAGTCTTGAGATACGATGTGATATTCTTGATTTTAGCGAAATAAATGCCTGCTTCTAGTTTTTAGACCCGGAAGAATGATATGAAAATCCCAGAATACAATCATTTCTGCTGTTTATTTCTTAAATTACCACAAACAAAAAAGCACCTCTTTTAAAAAAAGAATATTTAGAACTTCAAAAAAAATCTTGAAATTTACAAAAAAAAATTTCTTTTAAAATGATTTTAACACAAGTTTTAAAGTTTTCTATAAGTACTTCTAGCATATTAATAGTTTTATTACCCAATTCCTTCTTTCTTTTTTAATGACAGCAAAATTAATAAATTATAATTGGTACAAAAATAAAATTATATGGTTAAAAAACATGAGCTACTAGGTTTAGTAAAATTTTGGCCTTTTACAGTTTTGGTCGAAAAATTATTTCAGCTTTTTTTATAGTATATTTTTTCACAAATGATATTATGGCAACAGTCATTAGTTGATATTATACGAAAAGAGTCAAAGAATAAAATTAATAACTACACCTGCAATGAGTTATCAGATTATTTGTTTCAGGTAATGAAAAATGAAAAATAAGGGCAACACGAAAAAGTAAAACATTTTTTAAAAAAATGGACAACTCTGACTCCTGAATTAAGTAATAATTATTTTACTTTATATTCAAGTTGTATGTATTGTAAGTTTAATTCATATTATTTTCAAAGCAAGTGTGTATATACACCGCAAGGCTGCCAACTATCCATGAACCAACTTTTAAGTCTCACCACAAGAGAGCTAGAATAAAGTGGTATTTCATACGAACTTTTGTATCATTTGCATGTAGTGATGTGGAAAATATCTTTAAATCTAATTAACAAAAAAAAAATCATGAATCATACAGTCAAACATAAACTTAGCTACCACTAGATATTTTTCCTAAAAACATAGAAAGTTGGCAGTCCTGACCATGTTTTATTACAATTTGTATTGTTTTAGTTACTGATCAATATATAATATATATACTGATCTGTAAGTATTTTAACTACAAATCATTTTTTGATAATGTATTTTTATGACGCAGCATAGAACATCAACAGCATCTTAGCAATTATTTAGTGAATACAGAGCAAAAAGCATACAGTGAAAACTGTGTCACTAGTCCACTTGTGGTGCATTACTTTAGTGGTCAACTTAGGTGATATAGAGGGGGATGAGTCTTTTTCTTTTATCATTCTTATATATATCATGTTATTCAGGATGTTCATAGATTTCCTATGTTAACAATCAAAACAAAGATAAATATAATTAAATTTCTTTTAAATAACTAAAATTTTATTCAGTAAATATCACATATATCTAAAGAAATTTAATAACTGAGATGTGTTACAATTTGTAACTAATTTAACATTAAACAGAGTGATGTGTGCTAAAATATTTTCTTACAATATCAATACACAAGAACATATATACAATTAGGAAACTTAACGTCAAACTCATTTAAACACTTCCAAATTTATTTTGTTATACATGCTTACAAAGCTAGTTACAAAAACGTGTATTAGCTTTCTCACATAGTCAGAGGTTTAGGTTAGCTTTTAACGATATTTTACCAATTAAGAGAAATTATAATACATAACTTAATGGCATTTATTAATAATTCTAGACAAATGACTAATACAAGCAAGACGAGGGTTTATGCACAGGTTACAAAGGTTTTGCTCACTATTATATAGGGAAAATTTGGTAATAAGGGCAAAAAAATTTTAAAAAATAATTTATTTGGATAGTTTTAAGCTTTTAAAAAAAAATAAATTGGAAATTGACTTAGGTTTAGAGGTTTTCAGATATTTGGAGCTTTTAGATTTATTCCTTACTTTTTAGTAAAGTCTTGAGGTTTAAAAGAAAATCTAATTGAAAATCTATTTTTCCACAACGTCACATCTATTTTTTCATAGCGTATTTATAAACAGTAACACAAAAATTGATGTTTTTGAAACACCCAATATTTCTATCCATTTCTTCACTTGATTTGCTTTAAGGCAAAAGAGACGATTAAAATATAAAATCAATGATTTTCATATGACATATCAATTTGTTATGCTGTATTTAAAAAAAAAAGGTACAAAAAATAATAACTCAACAATGCGCAAAGAAAAACAATGACACAAGCCATTTAACTTTTGATCTTAAAATGCAATTTTATGGTTTAAGAGATAATTAAGCTAAATAATTGGTGGTGTTATAATTTAAGTTATAAAATTAGTCATGAAATCTAATGACATAATGAAGAGAATGATTTAGCCAAAAAACTAAGTATTTGGTCAAGCTGTAGCCAAATATTGATCTTATTTTTTATATCAACCAAAATACTACATTGATATCTTCATATAGTTCTTAAACATGCTCAATACATTACTTAGTCTGATTGGTAAAATATTTTATCAGAATAAAAGATTTTGAATTCTTTTTTAATATGATTTCATAAAACCAGGAGTTATAGTTGTTCGACTTTTATCTGTTATTAACTTCAGTTATTAATGCTACTATATTATAACTCCAGTTTTTAATGCTACTTATAGAGATTATAGTTTACTTAACTTTATTATATTCTTATAACCAAGGTTTACTCTAGGCGAGGTTTGATTTTGACTCTTATACAAATAAAAATAATAATACTGATAAGGAAAATTTTAATGCCAAGAGTAACTGTAACAAGAAAAAATATTCTTTTAAATTATCCAACTGACCAGAAAAACTGATTAATAAATTGTGATAATAATTTCATGAAAATATGATTTCAACGTGCTTTAATAATATTGTAATGATTTAGATTAAGCGCGTTCAAAATCATGGATGGTCTACTGGACAGGGACCATTAGAACTCCTTTCAGACTACCATTAAACTAATGTTAATGGTCTGAGATTTTTTTAAAAATGTTCAACTATTTGTGTTCAAATTTTGTATTTTACCATTTAAAATTACATTCTTTAAAATGATATAAGAAATAATTATTAAAAATTATTTCTAGCATGGATTATTTTTGACTAAACGATTACAGGGCTGCCACTGGATGAAAACAAGAAAAATAGTTGCTTTAGTTGCATCATATATGAAAAAAAGTCTCCTAAATAGTCTCCAAGATATATAAAATAGTTGCTAACATCATATCCTCCTCTAACATAATTTTAATTATTTGTGCTTTAATAGTATAAAATTCAAATAATATGCAGTTAGATACTCATATTTATAAAAAATGTACATTTATTTGTGGATTTGCCAACAATACATAGATAGAGGAATGATTAGGGAACTGCTGTAGAATTTTTAAACATTTTAAAAATATCTATTTTTAGTTTTACTCTTTATGAGGCATAAAGCTTCAGATATCATATAAGAAACAATGGTTGTAATTAAAGAAAAAACATTTGTAAAAAAAAAGCTAGGGTCTAAAACTTTAGGCATTATAAAAAAATGAAGTAGAAATAACAATTACTCTCATACATAAATTTTTTTAACCTTACTATAAAATAAAAATTTGTATATAGCATATTCATATAATAAACAAAATCTGCATTCTAAAAGTACTTAAATAATTTTGAACAATAATATGAAAGGAAAATCATATAGGCACAATTATGATTGCAAAAGCACGCTTCTGTAAGTAGCACAAGCAGCAAAAATCGACATAGTAACGAAAAAAAATCTCATATTCGAAAAGGGAAAATTAAGCACTTTTAGACATTTAAAAAAAAAAAGAAATAGGTAGTGCAATTTAATTCATTTCAATTTTATTTCGTTTATTTTTCATAACGATACATTTCCAAATTTAATGCTTATCAAAAAAATTATGATCACAACTCGACAAAACGAATATCACCATGTACCTTTTCTTCTATTATAAATCGCTCTAAAAAAATTAACTACACATTTTGAGTAATTAAAGACAATTTTTTTAATTTTGCTACTTTATTCAAATTAAAAGAGGGGGGAAAACATAACCCTCAGAGATATTACAATACCTTTCTGAAGCAGGAGCATTCACGTCGTACGAATTCAAATTCTATCAGTCTGATTGGTTAATCATGTCTGTCTTGCTTTTGACAACAAACAGTGAGGAAGAATAAAGTTAGGATAAAACGAAAGCGAGGCAAAAAAAGTGGGGGAAGGGGGAAACTCATGAAGCTATTCTTGATTATAGTCGCTGATTGGCTTAAAAAAGTCGCCGATTTTATGCAACTCATTGCAAATTAGTTGTTATTACTCATATTTCTACTAAAATAGTCGCCATAGTAGCTATTGCTTTAAAATAGTCGTTTTAGTCGCCTTTTTAGTCTCCAATGGCAGCCCTGCAATTATAATGGTGTGCAAAAAAATTTTCATTTCACCTAGTCAAGTTCTTAAATTTGGCAAAATATGCAAAAAGTAAAATTAACAGTAAGGGGTCTTAACTTTTAGCCACTCTCTTGACCAAACTATCGAACCATATTTCCCAGTTTGTTACTACCCATCTATCCACCCACCATGTGTTTGGAATTCAAATGCGTAAAAAAAAAACTAATTTTGTAACTTAAAATATAGTCCATACCAACTATTTCTCATATTTAAGATCAAGCTCTCTAACCAATAAGGTTTGACAGGGTTCCCACTCTTTCAACAAAGGAAAAATTAAGCACTTTTAAGGACCTTTTTTTTGAAGAAATTAAGGACTTTTTTGAAAATTTAAGGACTTCAGAAAATAGTGATTGTTTATGTCTATCATTGAATATGCATACGCCACCAGTGACAGTGCAAATTATTTACCTTCTTAAAAAAAAAAAAAAAAAAAAAAAAAAAAAAACAATTTTATAATAATGTAAGCACTGATACAATCGCATTAATTAACAGGCTCGCCAAAGAATTACCAGGCAAATCTGCATATTCTTAAGAAATAAAAATAATAGCGCAACAATCTAAAACTTTAAAAAAAAAAAAATTTACATTGCAACAAAACAAATTATAAATAGTTACCAAATATTTAACTTTCTTGTTAGAAGCAATTCATGCTTTCTTATTTAGTACTCAGGAAAAAAAATTAAGTATTTCTGAAAAAACACTTGGCTTTCATCAATAAACTCAAAGTTCTTGATGAAAAACCTAGGTGGGCTAAGATTCTTCAAACCCTGTCTCTTACAAATCTGTTTAATTTTTAATACTATCATGAATTTCAAAAAATTTTATGCTTTCTATAAATTTGCAGTTACTTACTACATATTGAAATATTATGCAAATTTATTTAATTCGAGATTTTAAGAAATAGTTTTCATTATGGATTCCCTTTAAAAAAATAAATTTTCCCTGATACTTCTTAGTGTTTACTTAATTCCTATACTTTTTGATTTTCTAAACGTTTTACTTAATTCCTATAAGCAGATGCATAACCAGTAGAACTGAATTTCCTGAATTCTGTCAATTTTGAAAGTTAGTGTGGGTCCTAAAAACTGCCCCCCCCCCCCCAAAAAAAACACTCTCTTCCATGTGCAGTTCTTCCTTGTCCACACTATTCTTTTCTTTTAGAATGCTTCTCTGTTCTCATAGAGTATCATTCTAGGCAAAGGGCAGAATATATTAAGGAAAAAGCCAATATATTAATAAAACAACATGTTTTCTTCCCTTGTCTGTACCCCCCCCCCTACACACATTAATTTTTGTCTCTCTAAAATGCTTTACCCTCGATGCATGGTCTAATTCTAAGTGATAAAAGAACTCTTTTTTGTTTTAAAAAATTCAACAGAAAAATTGTTGCTATCAACCATAGTGATGCTAAAAAATTAAGGACTTTTAAAAACCTTGAACCAAAATTAAGTACTTTTAAGGGGCCTTATTTTCCAAAATAAAAATTAAACACTTTTTAAGGACTTTTAAGGACCATGGGAACCCTGTTTGAGGCTTAGAACACGAAAATTGCATCACTAGATTAAGTTATTCAGCAGAGTGCTCCATCTTTATTTCTATGCACTGTAAAATATGTTTAATGCTAAATTTCGAGTGAATCAGTGATATTGTCTATCATATTAACACTTACTGGTCCCTCAGACAAGTAAATTTTTTTTATGATTTATGTTATTTAGAAAATTTCATTTTAAAAAGTGGGTGATTTTATTATGTAATGAGATTAGAAGTGGCCAGTGTACCTAAAAATTATGCATGGTGAAATTTCGCCTAGAAGCAGAAATCTGGTGAAAATAACGTTTTTTCTAAATAATTATTCAAGCTTATAAAATTTCCCTAATATTGAGTGAATAAAATTAAACCTAATGAATGAATTCAATATTTTCTAATTAATATGAAACTGAAAAATAATTAAACAAATAACTATAACAAAGTTGAACAATTAACTTTTGAAGAATTTACTAAAACTAGGTCAAAAAAATATATCATTTCATAAAACTTATATTTCATACAAAGTTTTAAACAAAATCTTTCAAAACTTTTAAACTATTTCTTTTTAAATTAAAGAGATTCATAAAAAAATTATAAAAGCAACAAAAACTCTAATTCAGTCGACGACACAATTTGGCCAATCCACTACAAGATAACCTTTTAACAATACATTTTGTTATGCATAGGTAGTTTAAATTAAAGAATAAATTTCATTATCTGAAACTTTAAATAAAAAGTTTATTGAATTTAAAATTAACTAAAGAATTGAATATAATTTAATTTCAAACAGCATCAAATGTTTACTTCAACATGAGACGCATGGTGGGACCTAACATGGGACTTTACTGATGACACATCACTGCTTGAACGTTTAGCACAATATTCCTGGTACTGTCTTTCAGCATCTTGATACCTATGTGCATCCATCCATATGGTCTCATGTTTCAGCACAGATGTTAAGCCTAACAAAGAAAAACAAAAGCTTATTTTATTTAATAACAAAGCAAAAACATTTTGAAGCAGTACTATTAACATACAAACATGAGATCTATTTCATTAGTAACAACTTTTTTAATTTATTTCAACCATAAATAAACTGGACAAATACTATATAAAATGCAAATTATGATGAGTAACATATTTCAGAACCTATCTTAAACAGAAGAATAAGTGTTATCCATTGAGTATATGATATTTAACTAAATGATCAAGAAACTGAAGCTGTAAGATATTATCAGACAGAAAACTTCATTTGTTTCAAAAATACAGTGAAACCTCCTGTTATGGACACTCCTGCAAAACGGACACCTCTCAATACGGGCATATTTTTAATGCCCCGGGAATCTTCTATGAATAAACCATTACGTACATTCTCCGCAAAGCGGACACTCCCGTAACCGGACGCGGACAGTCATTTTGGTCCTGAAACGTTGTTTTTTATCTCTACAAACCGGACACTACTTTTTCTAAATAAATTGCAAGCTAAAAAAATGCAACTTTTCACCATTTTTAAAGCATGTAAATAAAACTTTTTGCCTTATCCATAACTAAAAATATTGTTAAGCTATTTCACCACCGAAAAATCAATCTTTCTCCTGTCACCTTGCCTTATCTTTGTAAAGAAAGGAGAGAAAATGGTACTGCACTCCTGAAATAATTCTGACATCGGCATCTTTTGATCTTTTCATCTGGACCACACAGGTTATGAGACCCCTCAAGTTGAAATGACTTCTCTCAATGCTTCTTCCCCATTGAAAATTTCTTTAATTTTCTTATCAATTTGAAGACTGTATTTAACACAACTGGGGTAAAAAAAAGAGAACAGAAGTATAATCTTTGAGGTGTTTATATAAATGAAACATTTATTCAGACACTTGATAGCTGATCAATTGTGAATAATCATCTCCATAGGTCCTCATGACTTACAGGTATGCATTACTTTTTTTTCTGTGAATCATGGGAGGTTTATTTTCCAAGAAGGTATTAACCATGTTCCCTATCAAATGATAAGTAGGTGTAAGGGGATGTGAACCTAATAATTGAAACGGACTGAGGACAGTACGCTCCTATTTGGTATCATATGTCTAACTTGAGTATCTATGCTAATAGGAAAATTATATTTATTTATCTGTAGCTACATCCAGAATTATGTATTTATATCAAACTTCTTTATATATTCTTTTTTATCTTTCTTATTGTTTAAATAAATATTCTTGTAGATATTTACAGTATCCTTGTAGATATTATTTAATTGTTTCTACATTTTTTAGAACATTCTAAAAACAATTTACGGTGTTAAATTTCGTTATTAGGGTACCCTTCCCGTAAACGGACAACTCTCATAAACGGACAAATTTTTTGGTCCAATGAATGTCCGCTTAACGGAGGTTTCACTGTATATAAATAGGAAATAACAGTTAACATGTTTCAAGAGCCCAAAAATAGACACCAATTTTCAAGACTTGCCAGATGTGAATGAGAAGAAACAAAAGTGATTTGAATTATAAAACGTTAAGTTACAAGAATGTCGCCAGACTCTGCGTAAAGTCTCCCCCCCGACAGGGGGGCTCAAACAAATTAATTCAAAATATTTAAATTAAAACGAATTTTATATTTTAAATTTTTTTCTCACATAATTTTTTTTTAAGTGTGTTTCTAAGAATCTAAAATCTCTAATATTGATACCATAATGTGCAGATTCCTTTTAATGTAAATTTAAATCTAATTTTTTTTTTCTGTTATCGATGTATTTTGTACTGTATGGTGCAATTTACCATACATTGTAAGCGTAAAAATTACTTCTGTAATAAAGAAAAATAGTTGTAGCAGTATCCGCTATTTCAAAAAATTTCTACGCTTCTTACTCTCATAATGCAAAAATTATTTGTTAATAAAAATTTGAAATTTCATGCACATTTAACAAAACATTTAAAGAACATTTTGATATAAAATGTTATTTTCATATACATCAATTGGCTTTTGAATCATTTAAATGTTTTGCAAATGAAGTTTTAAGTAAATTTTTTGCATCCACGTATTCTATCTAAAAATATCATGACCCGTTTTGAACGAACTTTGAAATAGTTATGCCCATAAAATTGTAAAATTTGTGGGGGCGGAGTTATCAACCATGCCAACCTTCATCTATCAAAAGGTACCTCATGACTGAATCGAGTTAGCATGTCTTATATACCAGTGAATTGATGTTTAATATTCGTAGTGGTAGTTACGCGACAATACTCCCCCACCAGAATTTTATCAGGGACAGAATTCGATGAACGGATCTCACTAGTTGCTGTACTTGTGAAAGACCGGGAGNGGAGTCACCGGGTTTTAAAGAGTGCTGAATGTGAGAGGTGTATTAACTTCACAGTCGTAGTCGCTCCTGTGTTGCCATTAACAGTCGAGGTTATGCAGGCAGAAGCTGTGTTTAATCGAGACGTGACTGAGTAGCAACAGCGTGAGGATTCAGGGTTCATACAAAGATCAGAAGAAGAAATCCAAGGAGTCCAAAATTTTAAGGACTTATCAAAAATTTAAAAACTTTGTGTAAAAGATAGTTTTTTTAAAAAATTAAAAAGCAGTTATTATAAGGAACTTGCAAAAATGTACATTTTGAATTTAATTTCTATCCCTTTTGAAATAAATTTTGACTTTGTCAAACTTCGTCAAGAAAAATAAATTAAGTTATCACTTTGACACATAAATACATTTTCCAATTTCAAATATTTTAATAAATCTTGTTAAAGTACAGGTGTTAAGGATTGACATAAAAACCTACCAATCTATATTTTTAAATTTGAATACATAAGAAAATCTAAGGCATTTTATACAAAAAACAAAAAAAAATCACAGCAAATCAATTAAGTTTGCTTGTAACATGTAAAATTATTTGCTGTGACTTTTCTTCTTCTAACTCTTGCAATTCAATTTTTATTCTTTTAAAAGTTTTTTTAAACTGCTAGATTTTGACAGCTAAGTCATATTCAGTGGTACAAAAGGCTAAACATGGCTTTGGAGCAACAAAAAAGCAATTTTGGAGCAGCGAAACGAAGATTTGGAACATATGTAATAAAAAGAATTAAAACAAGAATTTTCAATTTTGTTCATTAATAACAAGTCTTATTTTTTTTCCATTTTTATGAAGGTCCCTGCATTAAAAAATTAAGTTTCTATTTGGTATCTTCCAATGCTGTTAAATATTCTGCTATCCTCGACTTTTCCTCAGATAAGAGGATTTGTTTGCTTTCTATAATCAACATGTCTTTATTATGTAACCCATCTTTAATATTTTTTTTAGCTGTGGCTAAGAGATCCTGAGAAGCCTTCAATTTTTTTTTTGCAAATCAATTTCAGCAGCTTTCAATCTGCTTTCCTCAGTTTTAGTGTTTTCACATTCTTTTCACTTTCTTTTTCCTCAACCTCTAATCGAGCAGAATAATTTTTAAATGCTGCACGAGCCACTGTAATCATATCTTTGTCAACTTTAAAGTTATTTAAACCCCCTATTTTGTTGATATGTGACACAACTTGTCTCAAACCATTAATACTGTGTGAATTTAAACTTGCCCTATTGTCAAGTAGCTTTTTGATCACACTAAAACTTCTTTCAACATCGGCATTCCCATGTGGTATGCACAAAAGAAATTTAAAAAGCTTTGCTAAAAGAGGATATTTGATATTTCTCAAATTTTCTTTCTTCACAAAATAGCTTTTCCAAAACAAATCAATTGGTGCATAATCATTTCAGTCAGAAGAATAACCTTCTGGTTTTCTATGTAACCTCGTTCATTCATCTAGTAACAAAGATGCCTTAATAGAAGTGTCTTCCATTCTCATTACAGGATGCAACACTTTAAGATGGAACAGTAACCTATTTTAAAGAGGCAATGCTTTTAATAACTTTTTTGCACATGCCATAGACCTGACACCTAAATACATAAAAAAAATTTCTGAAGATAAGGATGTCATCACATTTGTGGTATCTAGTCCAACATCTATTAAATTTGAATTTTGCCAAATATCTGCGTTTTCCACATACAATGATTTTAAGTACTTTCCTGACAAACTAAGAAAAGCAGAACTCTTTAAGAAACGCCCTAACAATGCCTTAACTAGAGACACCATTTCATCATACAGCAAGTGAATCAATGGTGTCTCAGTTTGGAAAAGACCTAAAAATTAATTTAATATAGCTAAAATATTTCTTTAAAAAAAAGAGCTTTTGACAAAAGCAATTTTAATAAATTCAATACAGCGTGGCTCATACTATTTTCTAAATTAATAATTACTTTATTTAATTCTGTAAAAGGTAATTCAAGACTAATTAATTTAACTATTATTTAAGGTTATGAAGTGTATTTTCCTTTAAAATTTTAATAAATGTTATTGGTAATAGCATATTCAACAAAACATTAACAAGATTAATATTGATCATACTGAATTCATAAAAATATGTAAAGAATTAATCAAATTAAGAAAACTTTAATACATTTTTATTACAAATGCAAATTAGTGAATGGCCCCTAATAAATTTTTATTAAAATTGGTTACCTTGTACAGTATTTCATTAATGAAATGATTAAAAATAATTAAATAATTTTTAAATGCAAATTCAATGAGTATTGAAGCTAAAAAAAATTTGCCAGAAGTAAATTATTATATTGTCCCCGCAATCATAATATTTCACAAATCTGAGATAATTAAAAAAATTTATATCAATTGTTTTAAATTAAAGATCATATTTAAATCATTAAGAGATGAATTAAAGTATTTTTGAATGACAAATCTGAAGAACATAAGATTTTTTGCTGCATTTAAAATATTGAAAGCCCTTCTCTTCATGCTTGCCTCTAAATATCATTAAGTTTTTTCGTTGAACAAATTAAGTGCACCGAAAATTTTGAAAGTAATAATACAATAATAAAATGCAATAAGTAAAAAACAGAAAAATATTCTTTAA